CTTGTAAATTATTACCACATTATTGCAGGCTGTCCTTCTGAGGAGTCCTCTTTGCGATATTCCTCAAATCTCGTTGCTAAATTCCGCACTGTTTGGGTGGCAAAGGTGGAGTTACATAGACTCTTTTGAAAATTTAAGAACCTCGCAATTTGGGTGTCGCATAGAAACTTTTGTCGAAAGGAAGAACGTTTTCAATTTCCTGTTGTTGAAAAATATTTCCGCCTTGAAAATTTGACGCAAAATTGTACTTAATACATAATGTGACGCCATGCGACAGCTCATCCATTTCATAACATCACCGTGGTGCTACCCGCAGGGCTTTTTGGGTACTGAGTTGTTACCCATTTTCCTTTGATTTACCTTAATTCTACCTTAATTATACCTTAATTATACAAAAATGTAAAAGTGGTTATCTTACCATATCTTTCTCCACATAAGTGGAAGATTGGTTATACTGACATCTTTGTTTTCAAAAATATTGATATGGGTGAAGTCTCTTCCATTCGTCAATGCATGTGTTCAAGAACATGTGTTCAATAGTAACTTAACTTAAAATAGTAGTTTAACTTAAACTTAACTCGGCAACGTTTGTGGCGTTTAAAAGTAGATGTGATAGATTGCCTCAATAAAGCATTGCTAAAGTAGGGGGAATCAGTCGGCCAATCCACGTTTCCTTTTACTGATTCCAGATCCGCTAAATTGTTTTACTTTCAGTAATCTTGTTGGAAAATGTAGTTTCTATCTTTTCCGACCATTGTTTCGGATATTGATTTTCACTCCATTTTTTCCGGTGAACAAACTTTTTTTTATCGGCTACTCCTGAAAACCCAGCGGATAGTCTCTTCGGAGATTTTTTGTCTTCGGAAGTGCAAAGATTCTAAGCTTAAGGATCGTTCCATAATCAGTGTGTTTCTAGTATCACCCACATATGACTTGAGTCATCCTCTGCGATCAAATCCAGAAATGACAAATTACGTTCAAACTATATTTTTATAAAGTGAATGGAAAGTTTGAGTGCCGTCTGCTCGCAGCCTCAAGGACTACACTAGGCGCGCCGCTCACGTTTCTAACTATGTCATCCACTTATTTCGGAAAAAAAATGTTTAACACTTGTCTTGGATCGATTAGTTTCTTGTTTCAAGTATGTCCTACCATACCGAACTATTTTACCAAGGTTCGCGTATTCGGATTCCATATGTTACCACAACATAAGTAGTACTATTTCAAGCAGGCTTCGGTTTCTACCCAGTTCGATATGTTCCTTTTTTCAGGGCAGACTTCCTTATGATTTTCTTTTAAATGCAGTTTCTTATAATTTTGGCCATAACTAGGCTAGAATTAACGCAAGGGAATTACTCAAAGCTAGACCGTCTCTTTGTACTCACTGTAAACCGTTGCATTCAAACACAACTTCATTCACAGCCTTTTGTAGCAATTTTTTTCAATTTCGCGAGAAATTCTAGGAGCATTGGTTTGCTTCTGAAACATCCGCGTGGCTATATCAAAACCTTGTTTGAGCGGTATTTTAACTTACAATTTTTAATTAATTAAGGAAAATATAACATCCAAAGTCCACTTTCTTTTTCTCCAAGATCTAACTAGCCATATGAGTTTTCGTCTACTGATTTCATACAAGCTACCAGGTACAAAAAGGATAAGACTAAGTTGTTTTCAGATTCACGGAATCAGTTTGTCAAGTTGGCAGACGTATGCTTGTTGGTGCCATGAGTTGTCATGCTGTTTTTCAGCACATCGAGCCAGAAGATAATCTGCTTACTGGACAGATGTAGCTGTTCCAGCAGAAGTCGTAGGTTGTCCCTCTGTTCTCTGTTCACAATATGTTTTATATAATCTATTGTTCGCAAATAAATTGTAATTCATGTTGTGAAAGAGCTAGACCGCAATGCACGCAGCAATAAAAATTTGTTCTACAGACGTAAGCTTGTTGGTGCCATGAGTTGTTATGCTGTTTTTCAGCACATCGAGCCAGAAGATAATCTGCTTACTGGACAGATGTAGCTGTTCCAGCAAAAATCGTAGGTTTTCCCTCTGTTCTCTGTTCACAATATGTTTTATATAATCTATTGTTCGCAAACAAATTGTAACTCATGTTGTGAAAGAGCTAGACCGCAGTGCACGCAGCATTGATTTTTCACGCTTACTACTGTGCAAAACAAAGTCTGAAAACGATGGATCTTTATCTTAAAAAAAGCAAGGGCGACTTAATCAATGGCAAGACGGAGACCTGGATGACCTATATAAAGTAGGAAAGGCGCTGCAAATTTGCTTGACAAAAGGAAATACAGAAAATACTGACACTTAATCACAACAGTTCAAAAAACAAATGAATACTGGAAAAATATCAAGCGCAATAGCAAAACTAACGGATACATCCAAAGACGTTCTTTCGCTCGACGAGATCGTCAAAAATATAACAATAGAACAAATTTTTATTTTGAGAACCATCTGAATCAATTGATGGTAACTTTATTACACCAGTCTCAAATGAAACAAGGCTTTTTCACCCATCGATATTTGATCAGCAGTTTTTCGATACATGGTCAACAGATCAAGAAAGCAGACATAAGAACACAGGGATATGATGGACAATCTGGCCTTGATGGAAATAATTAGAGACGTATTTCAACACACTTCGGACAACAATCAGTCGAGATTTAAAAAACAATAGCCAAAATTGCCAACAAATTGTCAATTGAAGAACTAAATCGAGAACTAACGGAACCGTATAACGCATGTAGGTTATAACCCTTAGATAATAATCCAGGAGTAGGAACAATAGGCATAGGAGAAGTTATTAGTAGGATAATAGAACTAACAATAACCAAATGCCTTTAAAAAGAACTCATGTCGCTCGGTTCAAACTACCAACTCTGTCTAGGACAACAATGTGGCAATGAATATGCGATCCACACGCTAAGAGATCAATATAGCAAAACCTCAGCCGATACTGTTTTAATCATAAATGCCGAAAACGCTTTCAACTCGCTTAATTAAAAAATGGCATTGAAAAACATCAAAAATGCCTGCCCATTTCTGTCAACACCGATTAGGAACTCGTTATCCAATCCATCGAAACTGTTCATAAATAGAATAAAACCATCTAATTTCAAGAACGGACAACCAGGGGGATCCGCAAGCAATAACCATGCACGATTTCAGAAACAGTTCGCAGATGACGGAAACGCAGAAATACAAATTAAGCAATCTACGAACCGTCTCCCATAAAATTGTATCACTAGGTAACTTGTTTGGCTACCATGTTATAGCTTCCAAATGCCAGCTCATAGTCGACAATAATTAACTCGATGAAGCTGAGAAATTTTTTGAAACTACAGGAATTATTATAAATGCAAGCGCTTGAGTGCTTAATTCTGTTAAAGGAACAGAATCTGAAGGTTAAAAATTCATCGATTTCCAGCAGCAAAAAAACAAAACAAACTTTTAAAAACTAGTGAATTTTGCCAAAATCTCCCCGAAAACGTTTATCCCTGCTACACAACTGAAGTTCAAGATTTGCTGTCATTTCTAACCAGGACAACTCCTAAAACCATGAAAAACTTTGAAACTTGTGAAATGTTATCAAAGAACAACTAATACCTTACCTTATCGGTGAAGACACATTGAAACCCAACATTAATCGGTGAATTCACATTAATCGGTTAAGACATATGGAAACCCCACATTGCCTTATCCCTTAAAAAGGGCGGCCCTAACATCAAGCTCCTGTCCGACCATGAAAGCTATCTAAAATGGTCTAAGGAAACTTCACTAAAACTGGAATCTCAAGATCCTGTTACACCAAAAACACAGAAATGGAAATCTTGTACGAAATTCAAAAAACTGAAAACTGATAGAGCAAACCGAAAGAAAACAAACCTCCTTGACTCCATATATGAAACTGAGATATATGCTATCAACCTGAGAAGGGGGCCTCTAACTGGCTCAATGCCTTAACACCAAGCGCATACAACGTCAACCTGAATAATTCAGTATTCAGAAATTAAATGCACTTAAGACACGGATGGGAAGCGACCAAAATGCCACTCACATGTGTTGCAAAATTTAACCTGAAACATGCCCTACACGGTGCAAAGGGCGGTTACACACGCATAAGACAGAATGAAATTAAAGACACATTCGCCAACCTCATGATTGAGATTTGCCATGAGGTCGAGAAGCTTTATCAATAATTCATTAACAACTGAAGATGATGTATGACTTGACATTATAGCAAATGGACTATGTGGTTCATGTTTTAGCCGCGCTTTCTCTGATGTTAAAGTTTTTCAACACTCATGTCCAAACATCGCGAAAACTGCATAAAAACGCATACACATCACGAAATGATGCAGAACTTCAATTACCAGCAACGGATTTTAAACGTAGAGCAGAATAGCTTCAGCCTGCTGATTTTCGGATGCATCGGTGGCGCTGCTCCAACATCCACATGGACGGTGCAGCGAGTAGCGGAAAAACTAAGTGAAAAAAAAAGACAAGAAAGCTACCCAGAATCGATACAGTTCATGAGAACTAAAATAAGCTTCGAGCTCCGCAAGAGCTCTATGCTAATAAGGGGGTGCAGATGGCTGCGTAAACTTCAATTTATCGACAACTCTATAAGCTCTAGTGTAGAGAAAGGACGGTTAAGATAAATTAATATAACGATGATGCATTTAAAGCTGATATATGACTTCATTGATACAATCATTCAGTTTGCTGATTTATATGCTTTTTTATAACGCTGGTATGGCCCTAGCCAGCTTTACTAAACGGAAGGGACCCTTTTGTAATTTACACTTTTTAAAAAAATTTAATTTAAACACTATACTGTATTGATTCTGCGGATGGATTGTACAGTGATTCAAGTATTCTTTCTGAGTGTTGCTACGCTCCGCCTAGCTTTTTTTAATACTGATTTTTCTTCTTCCTGGCAAACAACTGCAATTACCATTTGCTATAATATTGCTTTTTACAGAAATTGAACTCGGACCTAATTTATTGGTCCAAATTTCAGATGCCAATATGAAAATTTATTACGTCGGAGTTTTGGAAAAGAGTGGTTCAACAGGGAAGACAGTGATTTCGGCAGAAGATGTGTCGAACTTCAGTTATTTCTATCGCAAAAATGTACAACAGTTTCTCAAATTCACTTCAGAGGTAGTAGTTGGGCGAACAAATGTTGAACAAAGAGTTAGAGTGCAGGTTATTTCCTAATAATAGTTCCTTTACGGCCTTATTGCGCAATTGTTTCTTTGTTATAACTGTTTTTGATTTTTTGAGGAGTTGATACTAGCAAATTTGATCTTGCAGGGAGTTGACATTCTCAAATTTTGGTTGCTGACTTTTGTATATTTCTCAAAAAACCAATAGCAACGTATTAGAAGTATTTTCCATCTCAAAAATAGCGTGCTTCAAATATGGACCGTCTTCAATTCATGCCGGCTCAGTAGTATTCTATTTCGAATATTTTTAGGAAAAGGAGTACTTCTGCTACTGTTTTGTCAGAACAGATGGGTTGTCATCTGTACTTATATCAGATAACGATTACCCACAACGAGTTGCTTTCACGCTTTTAATGAAAATTCTCGAAGAGTACAAAATGAGTGCATCAATGAGCTCTGATTGGCTACAAAAGCTCCTTATGAAAGTAAGAAGTGTTATTTTGAGTAGTTCAATTATTTTTTGAATTCTGTGTCGGATGTTCATATCAATCTTTTGTAGTATCAAGATCCACATGAAGCGGACTCTCTTCTGAAAGTTCAGAAAGAGTTAGATGAAACCAAAGTGGTACTTCATTCCACGATTGAGTCAGTTTTGAACCGCGGAGAGAAATTGGATGACCTGGTAGCGCAATCGGATGCCCTTTCTGCCACATCTAAGACATTCTACACGACAGCCAAGAAGAACAATAGCTGTTGTGGATACTTCTGAGACGAGTTTACCTAGAAGACAGTCAACTTTAATGGGTTTGGGATACTAAATGAGTGGATATCAGATAAAAATGGTGTTCCTCTTCCTCAGATCTTTGAAATCAATTATGCTAGCTAGTTTATAACCAAATCGATGTTTAAGTTAAGCCTAATTTTGTTTCTGCATTAATTGCAGCGACAGCTGTTGTTTTATTGCGAAGTTAATCGTTATAATGTGCTGTATCGTTTTTAATAGCTATAGAATGAAATAGAAAATTAATTGAATGCATTGTACACAAAAGATGGTTCTAAAGTTCAGAATTTCTGTGAATTTTTTCATCTTTCCTGACAGAGATACTTCCGTTTCACCTAAACTGTGTTGAGAATTTTCTTATCGTTGCTCCAAATCTTAACCGTTAGATTACATACAGTTTCATTCGACGCAAATTCAAGTACTCCATTGTGGCGGGTCTGTCTGTTTATCAAATAATAGCTCTTTCAGTCGTGGCTTAAATTGAATCAAAATTTAAAAAAAAATACCCCATATAAAGAAAAAACGTTTTGAACTTTTCGCTCTGTATACTTAAGTTGATTGGAGAAAAACGTTATTTCGCCTGAAAGAACTTCGGAAGAATCTATGTTTTATGCTAAATAAGGTTATAGTAACTCTTTCAGTATTAATGATCGAAATTTAAGCTCACTTATCGAAGTGTGGTTTTAGGTAGTTTAGTTTGTCAAATTTGATTTGTAACTATTTGACTTCTGATTTTTCTGACTTCTGAAGTGCAATTCAAAATCATTTGCTGAAAGGGAGGCAAACTACACTATCCAATCAGCAAAGTGGAAATGGCGCAAAAAGATGTGATTGAATTCGATTTTCGAAAGTGGTTTTTAATTAATAGATTTTTCCCAGTAAAAGAAAAATTTTATCTTTTGATCCAATGTTATCACTGTGGTAATTTAATTAGCAAAGTGGTAATCAAAAATTTCAAGTGATAGTTTTTCTTTCAACGTTTTAAAAAAATTGTTGGTATTTTTGAGTTCAGTGACCTGTATGATAGCACATGTTTCAATCGTTGTATTTCGGATTTTTCTTTGAATTGAATTTCTTTTTACCCTTGCGATTAACCGCGTTCTAGGCTTTTTTCCGTAAAGAACTTTGCTCACAGAATTTGCACATGAAAACGTTACACGTGTTTACTTCCTTCATTTATAAGTTTAAAGTCGAAGATTTTTTACTCAGTTGGCGCTGTGGTAACACCTATACTTGATAAGACAAAAGTCTGTCTATGGCTTTCTGTTGTGAACTGCCAATGATTTTAAAATGTTATGCGCAAAAAGGTACACCGAAAAATCGACTTGATAGTTAATAAAGTACATTATTTGTTGTACAGCAAGTTATGTATTTGATAATTTGTTTACTGGCGATAATTGGTTGCAATTTTAGTGTTGTCATGGCATACTTTTTTTTCGTACGGGAAATATTCTTCAAAAAAAATTCATCTGAAGTTTGTCGACTTGGTTGTCATATCTAGGACTTTCTTGTGCTTCAAGAAATTTTTATTGTAATTGAAAGTGTTTTTGATTAATTCCTGTCTCGTGAATTAATTAAGTCTGAGTTTTTGAAACAACAGAAACTGATTGTTGTTTATTCGAAAACATTAGTTTGTTTGGATCAGCTTTCCACCTGGTTTTGACGCATATTACCTGTTCATGGTTCCAAAGGTCAAGAGTTCGATTCAGAGCAGATTATATACTTTTTGGTCTGACCATTTGAAAAATAGGGAGGAACTTTGTATTCTGGCGTGTTTGAGTTTTTTTTGTTTTCCTTGCAAAATCAGCTACCACAAATAATCATCGGAGAGAATTGAGTGATATATCATATTAAAGCTCTTACAGTCGTGATTCGAACGACATTACTAGAGAAACAACAAAGGTTTTGGGCGAAGTCAAATTTTGAAATTACCCATTGCATCCCGCATCAGTGTAACATATACAAAAATAGCAAACCTGTGCATCCAGCTTTAGCTGTGCCCCTAGTTATCTTGTATCGAGACACGAAAATTTTGGTTCAACTAGTTTTTTCAACTGTGTTTACTCTCATTGTCGATTGTACCTGTTTTCCAGGGTTTCGTTTAGATCAGCTCCTAGCAGAACGTGCAAAAAGCTTCGCATTTCGCAAAAAAGTATATATTTTTTTATTTATGTGGTCAGAATTTTCAGTGCTACCAGCACAGCAACCGGTAAATTTGTGTTAGGATTTGCCCTTGTTGAACAACAAAACTTAAATATGTATAAAACTTAAGTATAATTGCTTTACAGTAATGAATCAAATTACTATACAAGTTTCTTTATTCAAATTACATCTGTTTCTTTGATTCCAGCATTTATTAATTAAAAAGTATTGCATATTTTTCATTTTTGCCAAAACCTTAAAATGTTTTTTTATCTGAATTCAGCAATAATTAGTTTTGTTTGACTTGATGTTATGTGTTTGAATCTCAACTGGTGACGCTTTATCAATACATTTTCTAGTGTCATCTTTTGCAGTGGCCAGAACAAAAAAATATTGTCAGCAAAAAAATTTTGTTCCGCTAACTGAGAGTGGGGAGGAGCATTGTCAACTATGTTATTACTATTTTTCAACGCTAACTCAGGTACCATAAAATTTTATCAGATTAATTCGAGAGATATATCACATATAAGCCCTTTATTTGATGATTCAAACAATTTTGTAAGTTTTTGCAAAAAATTTCATTTAACATTAATAAAACCCGGTTTGAAACCTTTGATTTTTAGTCTAAATTTCAAGCGAGTAGCTTTTTTTAATGAAAAATATTTACTTAACTTAAAAATTAGTTTTACTAACAAATTTTTAAACCTTCATCTAATGTTCTTAATTACACCTGCAAGAGCAAGTGTCTTCTAATTTGGAACCAATTTTTTTTCCTTAAAGATTTTCTTACATAAATTAAGTAATTAAGGAATCGGTGCAGTTACTTACACGTGCTGTCACTAACAATTTCTTCAGAATTCAAATATAACTAACGAATCCTTATTCAGTAGTAATTACGCTTGCGATTAGCAAGCGTTATCAAATCGGAATATAGACTTTTTTCGGGTTAACAACTTGCTTAACAGAATCACTTGTTTATTGATTCATAATGATTTCAAATTTCTAAACGTCTCCGGCACACTTAATCTGGAGGTAACAAATGCGCCTGTCTGCTTATGTTTTGTTGGCTGAGTTGCCACACCTTAGAATTTTTTTGCTGTACGCAGTTTTCATTGTGGCTGCTTTTGTTTTCATTTACTCCTGTAGTTTGTAACTCTACTAATCTTGACATCGTAAATTTTGTTGTTTTCGCTTAAAAAGTTTTTCGGCCTAAATGATTTTGGCTTATAGTTTCTCGACTTACTAGCCTTAATTTGGGTCGTTCGATGGAGCCATAATTTTTATGCTTTCCTCCAGATCGCACAAAATGCTAAATATCTCGAATAGAATTTATAGTTCATTTTTCATGACAACAATTGTTTTTGAATTTTCATTCAACGGCGTTTTATGTGTTTCTGGGCTTGTTTTCCGCAAGTACAACATCATTCTAGACAACCTTTTGAAGTCTGGTTTTTTCGAAATTTTTTCCGTTCTCTTAGGACTTAGTGGTTCTCCTTTCCTTTCCTGTCTGCTAGCTTGCAATGCTGTTTTGTGGTATTGCATGAGATGCGAAGCTCCGCTTTGCCTGTGTTGATTTTTCAAATTAACTTGAAGAAAAATTTAAGATTTGTTTTTTCTTTCTAATTGTTATCGGCTCAATTCTTTTTCATGCATATTTTAGGAGAAAAAACGAACCCGAAAAAAGAGCATGGGGTTTTTTCAGATTGAAAATAGTTTTCACTATAATTGAAGTAATTCTGTAATTCGGAATTTTATCAACTCGATTGTGAATGTAAACTTTTTAGCTTATGTTTTTTTGATAAAATGATTTCTGTTTAAAAGTGTATACTAAAGGAGCAATTTGCTCCATTGGCGTATTTGTTACACCCATGCTTGAGACGAAAAAGCATTGGAGTTCGATTCCAGTCCGGACCTCTGTTGCAAACAAGCTCAAAAAACTTAGTTTACCCCAGAAGTGGTAGTTTTTGATTCTTCTTTTGGAGCCTTCTTGACATCAAAGAAATGGAGAAAAAAATCTTCGAAAAGTTTTTTAAAAACATACAGAAATACTTTGATGACTTATAGACGCTTTTTCAGTTTGTCTGCGGTTTAAATGCCCGTTCTGTTTGAAATATGCTTTTAATGTTGGTTGTAAAAATAACCAACTACGATTTCAAAATATCGTTTTTTTTCTGTTCTCTTTATTCGGCTCCAGAGGTTTCGGCGTACATTATATCGGCATAGTGGCCTCTTTTTGAGAATTGTTTGGAGCAAAATTTGTTTTTATTCAAGTGCTTTCAGTGGGTACATAAAAATCTTTAAAAGTTTTTTATAATTTTTTTATGGAAACATCTTTTGTAGGCTCAACGTATGTCTGCTCAAAAATTGTCGGCTTTGTAAGTTTTGTTTCGATACTAACTAAAAATTCAATTGTTCTCCGGATTTTTATGTAATTTGTTTTCTGTGCTAATTTGATTCAATTGCTGTGCTTAGTTTCTTTGCAATGATATCTTGACATCTTTTTGACCATTTTTTGCCTAAACGTACATCTACATTACATATTTAGTCAGCTGGTTGAGTAACACTTCTTCGATGTCCAATATTGGTCTATGGATCGACTCTTTAGAGAGAAATTTTGCTATCTGAACTTCAATGTTGAATCTAAGTCGGCTCAAGCAATAAATCTACGAGTTCGCCTATGTGTGTGAAATGAGGTTCCAATTTTTGTTGTAACTATCGGCCGTTTCGTGATCCTGGCTGCTGCTGAAATTTTGTCATTTATAGGATCAACTTTTTAACAACCAATATAATGCTTCGTATAGGCTTCTTTTTGTTCTATAGCAGGATTTTGTAACTTTTCGAATTTTATAATATTTTAATTTTAAGTGTAAAAGAACGATGTGATTTTTTGTCAGGAAACAATCTCAAAATTTGTCAGGAAACAATCTTAAAAAGTGGAGTAAAACCGGTTTGAAATTTTTGATTTTTCGTCTATTTTCGAGCGAGTAAAGCGAGCGAGCAAGCCTTGTTTTCCATCAAAAGCAATTACCATAAGAAATTATCGTAATGGGTGGAGTGGTACATCATATTAGAGCCCTTTCAGCCCTGATTCGAGCGACATTTAAAAATTTTCAAAAAGTTTCAGTGTCGAGAAAAACCGGTTATTTTTTTGTTTT